GTTGGGTTGGCTGGGTGGGTGTGGGGGTGTGGGGTGGGTTGGTCAGGGTGAAGAATAGGGTGGGAAGGTTGAGAACGAGTTTTGGAAAATGTTTTCCCTTCTCTTGATAAGGAAAATATTTTCCAAAATATTTGAGTCAACCAAACATGGGAAAATTGGAAAACATTACCAAACACACCCTAGATGCACTTAAGGCCAAAAGGTTTGAAGTGCAACAAACGTTTTCCTACATTCAAGGCCAATAAGTCTGAAGTGAAGAATTACATTTCATACGCACTTAAGGCCAAATAGGTCTGAAGTGCAACCAATGGTTTCATGCACTAAGGCTAATAAGTCAGAAGTGAAAAATTGTACTTCAGATGCACTTAAAGCCAAAAGGTCTAAAGTGCAACAAATATTTTCCTACACTTAAGGCTAATAAGTGTGAAGTGATATGCACATAAGGCCAAAGGGTTTGAAGTGCAACCAACATTTTCATGCACTTAAGGCCAAATAGGCCTGAAGTGCCAATTGTCTAGAAACAGAAATTTGTTCTTCGAATTTTAACAATCCAATATATGATTTGATACCTAAATCTAACTTCCAAATACATAAATCTCTGAACTCACAACTTTGGAACTTGTAAAAATTTAAAACATATTAACCGGAAGATGAAAAAACTAAAACTGAAAATATATGGAAAAAAAATTGNTATTTTCCTCCAATTGGAGGAAAATGAGTTCATAAGGAAAATATTTAAGCCAACCAAACATGGAAAAATTGGAAAACATTACCAAACACACTCTAGATACACTTAAGTCCAAAAGGTTTGAAGTGCAACAAACGTTTTCCTACACTTAAGGCCAATAAGTCTGAAGTGAAGAATTACATTTCATATGCACTTAAGGCCAGATAGGCCTGAAGTGCCCAATGGTTTCATGCACTAAGGTGAATAAGTCAGAAGTGAAAAATTGTACTTCAGATGCACTTAAGGCCAAAAGATCTGAAGTGCAACAAATATTTCCTACACTTAAGGCTAATAAGTGTGAAGTGAAAAATTGCACTTCAGATGCACATAAGGCCAAAAGGTCTAAAGTGTAACCAACATTTTCATGCACTTAAGGCCAAATAGTCCTGAAGTGCCAATTGTCTAGAAACAGAAATTTGTTTTTTGAATTTTAACAATCCAATATATGATTTGATACCTAAATCTACTCCAAATGAGCTCAAATTTGAAACATAACCTCCAAACATCATCAAGAACAAACTCCAATCATCAATTTGTCAAAACAACAATAAATCTAACGAACCCATTTTGTAATTAAGAAAAAGAAAAAGAAGAAACCCTAAACAATAGTAAAAAATAAAGCGCCACAACAGCTCACCACTGTAAAATATCATAAACTACCTTAAAATATGTTCACAAACACCATATAAAATCATTGTTACCCAAAAAAGAAGAAGAAGAAAGGAAAAAAAGGCCTGAAGTTGTTTAAACAGTGGGTCTTTAAAAAAAATTAAAAATAGGTACAGGTTAAATGGGGACGACCAAATAGGGTACCGTTATAATTTTTCCCTTTAAGATGCGTCACTAGTATTTAAGACTTATTTACTTATTTCTAGCATCTTTTTTGTGTTTTGTCATTTTGGGATCGCTTAGAGTGTCATAATCAAAGAGTTTACTTTGAGGGTGTTAGAGTGAAATTATTATTTTGTTTTGCTTTCGCATAAGAAACTATTTATTTTAAAGACTAAGGTGCTTCAAAAATTAATAAATAAATAAGTAATCAAAGTATATATTATATTAATAGCATGAAAGCCTTTAGTGAAATGTCGGTCATCTTTTTTACCCTTTAAAAATAAATTTTGCATTGAATAAAATTGTAATTTAAGTTATTTTTCTAAAATTTAGGACTTTAACATTAACTGAATTTTGGTTATTAAATCTTTCCTTATTGAATTAGGTCCTAAGATTTAGGAGTTTAAATTCAATTGAGATTTTATCCCCTTTTTTAAAACGGTACTATTTCATATTATTCTAGAACTCTAAAAGATATAATACCTTTTCGTAACTACCTACATACTTGTGGTAATACAGCATAACAATCATACGACACATATCATATTTATGACACGTGCCTTTATATTCAATACTAGTATTATCGCCCGCGCGGACACTAACCATGTAATATATTTGAGTTATTTGGATTATATGTAAATAATCTTAAAACTTAAACTTTCTTTATTAAATATAGATAATCATTGGATATTAATTAAGAAACACTACATGAAAAAGATAAACCATTTCTTAAATTTCCTAGATATAATTCTATTTTTCTTTTTTTATACCATTCTCACCGGTGTTATTGGATCCTAAAATTAGTCGGGAAGCAAAATAATAACTCATATTTATGACAAAACAATCAAAGGTTGAGACTATGAAGGACTCTTTGGATACGACTTGACTCTTTTACGACTTGTCACGACCCGGATATTTACCCTCGGGAGTCGTAATGACGCCTATTCGTGGAAGCTAGGCAAGCCGAATATTATAAAATTATTACCCTTTTTATTAAACATGTTCAATAATTTAAAATAATAAGTGATTTAACAGCGGAATAAATTAAGTAACCAGAAGTGATCAAACGACTTCCGTTTCTTACTAAATTTTACAGATGCATCTGAAATGTCATATTCAACCTGTACCGGGCTCCGGAAACAAAATACGGCCCCGATACCATAAATTTCAAATATAATCAAATTTCCAAAAACTCTTATATTTTCAATAAAACAATTTCTTTCAAAAATTCATTTCTTGGGCTTGGGACCACGGAATTCGATTGCGGGCATACGCCCAAGTCTCATATTTTCCTACGGAGCCTCCGGGACCGTTAAATCACAGGTTCGGGTCCGTTTACCTAAAATATTGACCGAAGTCCACTTAAATTTAATTTTAAAGGCTAAATTAACATTTTCATCACATTTTCACATAAAAGCATTTCGAATATATGTCTGGACCACGCACGCAAGTCGAGCTGAGGAAAAAAAAGGCTTCTAAGGCCTCGGAACATAGAATTTACTCGTAAATCAAGTAATAACCTTTTGGGTCATCACACTACTACTTGAACTCTTATTTTGTGTGTTGATATCTTTCAAAATTTATTTCTATTTTAAAATTTTAATTTCTAAAATATTATTTTTAAATAATAATTTATTTTATAATAATGTAAGTAAAAATATTTTCCTTAATTCAAAACTCATTTTAGTCT